TGCCCTGCATTGGGCTCCCTGCTCCGCGGGAAGCCTGCTTCTCCCTCCCCCACTCTCCCTGCTTGTGTTCCCTCTCTCACTGTGTCTCTGTCAAATAAATAAATAAAATCTTTAAAAAAATAAATAAATAAATGCCAGACTATCAATAGGGCAAAACCCCAAGAAAATACTTAGAAGCAACAGTCCTCACCTCCCTTGCAACCCCTCCTATAGGACTCCCCTCACCCCGACTAGAACCTTTCAACACTTGTTAATTCCCACCCTCTGATAAGTCTCTAATACCATGCCATCTGTAATCATCCTAAGGGCTCTAGTAAAACTTCCCAAACGATTCAATGAAAATTCACTTTAACTGTTGAAACTCTAACTAGAGCAGTTAACTGAGGCACATCTATCGATTTAAGAATTCTTATTTTTTTGGCTGCCCTCAACTTTAAGGGGAACATAAACAGATAAGCCATGAGCAGAGGACCTCTTTCTTCCATTTCCTCTCAAAAACCCGACTTCTCTACTTTCCACCTCTGCAGTTCCAGACAGTGAGGATCCAAGTTCACACTAATGACGTGGAGGCCTCCGGGATCTTGGATAATCAAAAGATCTATTGTGTTCCCTTTACTTACAAAGGCAGTTAAGTGGACCAGTGTGCTTTATAATTTCCAACAAGGCTTGAAACAAAAGAGGTTTTCATGTTAACCCTCAATTCTCAAAAAAAATTCAATTAATGTGCCCCATTCTCAGCATTTTGGTCAGATGTAATTTTAGCACATAATCCCTCATTATACTTTCAAATTTCAGGAGGAGGACTGGTGTTAGTGACTTGAGGTCAGACCTTTAAAACTGGAATCCGCTTGACTGGTATAGACGGGAACAGGTATAGAGTAGGAAGGTTCCAGTAAATAAAAGGAGAGGGGTCTGGCACACATGGAAAACCTCCAAATAGGATAATGCAGTTTGAAGCTGGTGAGGAGGCCAGCAGGATCCAAAAGGCTTCTGGGAACTGGTCTGCTATGTGAGCAGTCTAGCAAAACCCAGAGTTAGGGATGGGGCATGCCAGTGGAGGGCAGGGCCTGGAGCCATCCCTTTCGCACCCCTAGGAGATCTGGGAATCTCAAGAGCCACAGCAGGAACACCCCCTCTCTCCCCACTTTTCCTCCCTCTCAAACCCTCCTAATTCCAAGACCCTACTTGAGGTCATCGCCTCCAGAGAGCCTGCCCTGACCCCTCAGGCTGGTCCTGGGGGCCCTCATGAGCCTCCCTGTCCTGGTGAGCTTATTCATCCTTCTTCCCAGCAGCCAGTTTAAGCCTGGTGGGTGTCTTAATCCATCTTTGCACTCCCAGAGCCTTGCCTAGTGCCTGGCACACAGTGGGCACTTAATAGACGCTTGCTGACTAATTCTCATGTACTTCGGAACACAACACAGTGTGAAACCTGACTCTGCACCATATAATCCTGGGCAAGTTATATCACTGTCCTCATCTATAAAAGGGGTTGGTCACCAAGATTAAATTAAAATAAGAACTTCTATAAAGTGCTTATTGGAAGCTCTGGTGCACAGCGAGTTCTCAAATCCTTCCTGTTTATGATCACTGCACACCGGAGGTGAAGGCTGAGGAAGGTTCACTGCTCCCCTTCACCCCAACCCTTTGCTTTCTTGTGCTGCCAAAGGAGGGGTGGGCTGATGCTTACCGAAGCCACAGAGGAGGTGCTAGCTTGGCCAGGCCCCACACAGGAGGCCTGCATGCCAATGCCTGTTCTAGTGGAAGGAGAAAATAGAATTCCCCAGCCGGCCAGAGTCCACCTGAACCAATTCACTGAGCTCGCTTACAGACTAACCAGTCAAGAGCTTCACATGCCCAAGAAGGAGGGCAAAGGTGTACAAGGAGCAGGCTCTGGAGGCCAACTGTGCGATCCTGCATCGCCAAGGCCACCCCAACTGCCCTGAGCTTCGGTTTCCTTATCTGAATATGTAAGGTTGCTGTAAGAAGTAACTAAGGCAGGTAAAGCACCTGGTCAATGTGTGCTCGATAAACGCCAACAACAGGGGGAGACGTGCCGTGCCGGCTCTCCCAAGTCACACCAGTACACACCTTGCCTAACGCTTCTACTTGACCTGATCTTCACTGGCCCCTCATTTTGCAGAGGGGGAAAGAGGCAAAGTTAAATGGCCTGATGGGTAAATGGCCAAACCAGATGACAAAACCAGCCTGTGCCCTCTCTCCTAAAATGCACATGCCACCCACAATGCCCAAGGCGTGGGGCATTCAGCCAATGCTAACTGCTCTTTGTGGGAACCGCTGCAATTTAGGAAGAGGCTGGGGGGGAGCAAGGCTTGGGAGCAAGGCTCCAAGGTGGTTCTGAAGGCAGGAAGGAGGGGGACCATGTGGTCAGAGGCCAGTGGGGGTGGGGAAGTTTGAGGTTTGAAAGTTGGCCTCCACCTCAGTTCAAACCACAGCTTGAACAGGGAGGAAGCACCTGACAACTTGGGGCCTATTTCCAAAGATCGAACGAAAGGTGAGGGGCGTGTTGTGTTAACTCCCTTCGTGTGCCTTTGAAAGCACGTGCGGATATTTCCAGGGTAAGAATAACCCCAGCCCAGACTGCACCCCCCCCTTCTAACAGCCCCTCCCAAGAGCCCACCCCAAGCCCAGGAATTCCTAGCGTGGGACTTCTTTAGGATTACAAAGGTGATTCAGAACCTGACAAAACACAGAACCTCAGGTGCGTGTGGCGGGCCAGATGGGAAAGAAGTTTGAATTTTCAAAGACTGAGTCTTCATTTTTCCTTAAGCCAACTTCCTAGGGCTGAAGGCCATGCTTCAAGTCGCAGAACAAAAAGCAGAGCCAGGCAGATTTCTGCAGACTAAAAAGTAACGCTAGCAAAAATGCTTCCCCTGGTCAGTTTTCGTGTCTTGGGTTTTTCCTATGATGGGAGGGGACTCGCCCTGTTGGAGAAGGTTTGAGAGTTTTCTGGCCAGGGATGAGGAACAGGGCTGTCTATAATCGTCTCCAAATCAGACTGGCCTGATGCCCAAATCTAAAAATTACCTGCCCACTTTTGGGGGGCAATCATTGGCGGGTTTAAGAGGACCTCCAAACAAGAGGCATTTTGTTTGCTCGAACACCTTAAGAAAGCTGTCTAACTTCCAAAGCTACTACTACCAGCTGCACGCGGCTGCCTTACCCCGACACCCCCCCTTTCCCCTCTCCTCGGGTTTTGAAGTTTATTTTCCCACATTCAGCCTTGAATTCTTTCCTTCCTTCCCCTGCTGTGGCAAAGAGGGAAACACTTCGAGGGCAGCTTGATTCTTCATCACCCACGCCTGCCCTCTTCCCCCTCTAAACAAAGCCCTGGAAGAAACTAAACAGCAACTCGTTCTCCAGGGGAATTGTTTCCTCAAGGGAAATTATAAAGTGACCACTCCCCAATGCGCACACACAGGGCAGACACTCATCCAAAGGAGCTCCCGCTATCGGGGGCGAAACCACCCGATTGCCCTCCAAAGCTCATCCTCCCCACCAAACCTCACCTCTCCTGGGCCCCCACTCTGGGGACGGCTGCAGGTCCAGAGGCTCTCCCCACTAAAATCCAACACCCAACCTGCCCAACCTACCCTCTGCTGGCCTCTGAGAGGTCAAGTCTTTACTTGCCCAGCTGCTGGTAAGTACCTATATGCTCATGTGTGTGAATGTCCATTGATTTCAGGGCAAAAGGAGGTAGCAAAGGAAAGGCCTCCTCACCTATTCCAAAGTTTTCAACTTTCCAGCAGTCCAGGGCAGGCAAGACAGATGAAGACAGGTTCATTCTCATTTCACACATGGGGAGACTTGAGACGGGTCAAATGAGAGACAACTAGACAACCATAAGATGTTGGGGGTCTGCTGTAGATTAAGTGCTGTTCCTCATCAAACCTCCTTTCTGGCATCTTTTGCCCCAAGAGAAATGTAACACCTTGGACAATCTATCCCTAGTCCACCCCACAATTTAGAACCTTCACCAGCTCTTATACCCAGGTCCTGGTCCTTCCACTGGAGGGAGGCCATTAATGCAGGCCAAGAGGGTGGGTGGTTAAGGCTAAGAGCCTCTGAGAAACTGGAGCAGAGGACCCTGGTCCCCAAACAGACCCAAGGTCCCAACCACCATGGTCAGCCCTAGTTTATCCGAGTGAGGTCAAAGCCATCCATAGAGCAGGAAGGAGAAGAGGCTCCCAATGCCAACCCGGAGGAGAAACTACCCCCCAACACTTTCCATTCTAATCAACCTCTCCTTCCCCCTAAAAAGGATGCCCAGGGTTTTGTTCCTTTGTTCAACCTGCTACTTTCACAAACTTTAAGTCCAAGCCCTGGGGGAGGAGGGGGACTGTCTCCGCGAGATAAGCTCTGCCGGAAGCGTGAGCGCGTCCCCAGCATTCCAGCCATCGATCCCCATCCCGGGAGCTCTGGCGGGACAGAGCCCCCTACCCACTTCCTGAACCTAGCGGGTGCGGGGGAGGGGAGGCTTTGCTCAGGTTGGGGCTGGGGGACCCTCCAGTAACTCCGCGGGGCTCACGTTCGCGAAAAAAAAACCGGGCGGGCACGGCACCGGCCTGGAGCTGGGAGGTGGAGATGCGAAGGGGTGGCACCCGGCTCGACTCCCGAACTCCGGGAGCGTCTCCAAGTAAAGATAAACGCCTTTATCCGCCCTCCAGCCCCCTTCCAACCAGGGAGGTACCCGCACACTCACACCGAGCCACCGCGGGGCCTGCTTCACTGGGGGGTCAACCCCAACTTCTTCTCTCTGGACAAACTGGGTTCCCAAAGAGTCTCCGCGCGTGGGTGACTCCAGTGTCTACGGGTGAACCACAGATCCCAGCAGCCAAACCCATGCGAGACATCCTTTCCTGCTACCCCCAGGACTACCCACGGGGACTGTGAGTTATCCAAAGCTGTGAAGGGCTTCCCTTCAGCACTCCTAACGCTCCGGCCAGCTTCAAGTGTCTGTAGGGGCACGGACGGCGGCTCACCTGTAAGATCTTGTCCAGGCCCTCCTGGCCCAGGCACGGGAACTCCTTGAGCAGATGCAGTTTCTGTGTATAGTAGTTTTTCTTGGCCTCTTTCCAGTGCGGCTCCTCGAGCACCTCGAAGATCGCTGCCCCGATGGCCAGGTAGAAGATGATGGCCGAGGTGAGCAGTGGGCCCCGGTCCACCATGGCTCCTGAGCGGCCGCCTCCTGGAGAAAGCCTCCCCTAGCCCCAGCGGCTCCGGGTCCACGCGCCCTCCAGCCTCTGGAAACAGCTGTTTGAATTTGGAGCTCCGCATGCGCAGTGCCCTATTCCCCCCACCCCCCGGCGCCGCTCCCCGGACAAAGTTGCTCCTTCAAATTGGCCCACCAAGCGCGGGTAACTGTACGAAGCGTTGCTCCCGCAGGCGGGCGGAGGTGGGGGCGGACGGACACCAAGCGGGGGGCAAGGGGGCGCCCTGGCTCGCGGGGGTAAAAGTAGCTGGGGGAACTCAAGGCCGGACTCTGGGGAGACACGTGGGCCGTCCTCCGCGAGCCACAGCAGTGTGCGCCGCGCCCGCCTCCGCGCGCCTCT